TGTGCAACCAATACTGCGCATTGGGCATAGCAACTCAGGTGTAGCTGCAGAGGGTCCAGCTTAACCAACCGTATTGTGCTGATGGCTACACGTCTGTAAGCGCAGGTGGTGGCGTAGCGGCAAGTGTTGAACACTTTGAACTATGCATACGGTATTGTGCAGATGCTTACGTCTACTAGCAAGTCGCTGGAATTGCAGCTGGCCGTGCAAACCGTTCTCTGCCCGCTCAATACTCACTCCTGACCCATCGCTCTCTGCTCCTCGTTCTCTTCGTTCCTGGCTCCTCACCCCTCGCTCCTCATTCCTCATTCGTTCCTCCTGTATCCTAAATCCTCCCCCCTTCACCCAGCCATCTTGTGTGAACTTTTCTGTCTCCCCGTCCTGCTTCGCCCCCGAAGTGGTCGTCGTCGTCCCTGTCGTCACAAAGTCGCCGACAGCGTCGCCGTGGTCGCTTTCGTCGTCGTCGTAGCCACCCACCCGAGGCTCTTCCTCATCGTCACCATCATTATCATGTTGCTCATCCTCCCTCATCCTTATCCTCCTCCTCACCTTCAACTTCCGCCTCCCAACCATCGAATACCCCACACCAGTCGTTCCCCTCCAGCGGCGACGTGGCGGCCCCGTCGAGAGTACTGAGCCGGAGCACGCCCCGTCGAATACCGCCGGGCGTTGCAGGTGGGTGGTCCCCCGCATCCGTCCTGTCCTCCACCCTCCACCCTCGACTCTCATATGGGAGCTGCGTTCATTTCAGGAGGATGAGGAGGTGGCGGATGAGCAGGGAAGATAAGCAGGAGGAAGAGGTAGAGGAGGAGGAGGAGGAGATGTTCAGGTAGAAAATCGAAGACGAACAGCAGCAGCGGGAGATGGAGTAGAAAGAGCTGGAGCAGCAGGAGGATCACAGGAAATGGTGAAGATGGGAAAGGAAGGGGTCGACAACGATAAGGAAAAGCACGCTGGGGCAACCGCGCCATTTTGAACGACGGAGGCAAGGGCCTCAAGTACGAGGCCCACACTGCAGCGCCAGCGCCACTTTGAATAATCGAAAACGACCAGATTGTACAAAAAAACGCTGGGAGGTCAGGGCGATGCTTGAGATCCTGATAAACATGCGCTGCGAAAAAGGCGGGACGCTCCCTCGCCATACTCGGGCGAGAGAGGGGAGTAATACTCATGTTGAGTAGTTGTGGTGGCTGGCGGCTTCAACTGTGCCATTCCGAGGGACGGCTGTACGCGGGGCTGGGGAGGGCGCCAGCGCGCCAGCATCAGTCGAAAAGTGGAGAGCAGATCCTGGCCGACTCCATCACTACAGCGTGGTTGTGTCGCTGTGTGTCGTCGTGTACGGGACAAGGGGAGGGCATGCGGAGCAGGAGGGGGACAATCAGTTGGACCACCACAGCACATGGGTGCCCCGCAAGGCTGAGGGAAGGAGAAGGAAAATGAGGGATGTAAAGGATGACGAGGAAGGGAAGGATACAAAGCATGAGGAGGGCTGGGAGGGGGCTGAAAGGCAGGAACGGGTGGGGGGAAAGAGGGAAGGCTGGGAAGAGGGAGGAGAGAGAAGAGGGAAACCAGGAGGAGAGGGCAGGGGGTCAGGAGAACGAGGACAAGAAGAAGGGAGGGCAGAAAAAGGAGAGACGTTCTTTTACTCCTTCCATTATCCTCATGTTCCCTCCTGCTCACTCCAACTCCAGCAAATCCCCTGCGGATTCACCATCATCCCACCAGCTCACTCCAGCCCCCTGCGTCCTCATCCTCCACCTCCTCTCCCTCGACGCCCATCCCTTTAAGTCATCATCATAATCCATCACATGGTCCTTCACCTTCGCCTCCACCTCCGTATCCTCATCCCCGTCCTGCTCACTCCTCAATTGTCGTTCACCCTCTCCTTCTGGATACACAAAAAAATCTCACAGCCAGCGGCTTCTCCAAAGTCTTGCAAGCGAATCGGGCCCATCAGATCGAGGCTTTGCCTCCTCACGCGTTCCTCCTCCCCCCCTCTTGGCGTTGCTTAAGGGGGTGATGCATGGGGGGGAAGACGTGCACACTTCGCGGCCCGCTTGGGCTCCACCCTTTTGGGCGCCCCCGCCGAGCCAGCGGAGCAGCCGCAGTAGCATCCCTACAGGAGCAAAGGCAGGGCATGCGAAAAAGCGGCGCGGCTGGCCATACAGAGGGCACCGACTATCGTCGGCGCGGCGAGCCCAGGGTTGAGAGAGACGAGGCGGGGAATCTCGGCAGGCTCGGAAGGCCTCGGGCCTTCTGAGAAGTTGTCTGAGCCTTCCCCGGAAACACAAAAAACCTCTCGGAAGGCCGGAGGGCTTCTGAGAAGCCCCGCCGCCCCCAGAAAATTGGGCGCCCGAGTTATCCGGGGTAACTCGGGTCCGGGGTAACTCGGGTTTGGATTCCCGAAAAAGGAACCCGAGTTAGCCCTGACCCGAGTTACCCCTGATGATGTGGGGCTCTGGACGCCCGAGTTATCCGGGGTAACTCGGGTCCGGGGTAACTCGGGCTTGGATTCCCGAAAAACGAACCCGAGTTAGCCCTGACCCGAGTTACCCCTGATGACTCGGGGCTCTGATGGCCTCCCCTCCCCCCGGGGCGCGCCGCCGAGAATGAGCAACGCGCAGTGCCTGCCAGCGCGTTGTTTTCCGCGGGCGGGCCGCGACGCGGCCCCCCGCGCTGCCTTGACCCGCCGCGGGCGGGCGGGTGGGCCACGCCACGCGGCGCGCGCTGGGCGACCTATGGCCCAAATGGCCACCGGCGCCTCGCTCCGGCATGTCTCCCCTCGCCCCGCACCCTCTGCAGGCATGCAACACAACGCTCCTCCGAGGAAAACTACAAGGCACACCCCATTCGCAAATCACACCGCAAGGAACGACACGCCCCCTGACTGAATGACAGTCCTGCTACATGCCATCGCTGTCAATTCAAATTCTGCTCTACGCCCCTCTTTGCACACATGAGGCTCGACAAAAACTCACGTGCTCACTCCTCCCCACGCGCCGGCAGCCGCGCGCGCCCCTCGCGCGCGAGCGCTCCTCCGCTCTGTTGCCACTCCGCTCGCGAACGTGTTTGACGTCAACGCGCAGCGCCTGGGCTGTGATGCGGTCCCTCTTCGCGCCTCTGGGCCTCTCTGGCTGCCCAGCAGGCGGCGCTCCCACCTCCCCAGTGGCGATTGGGCGGGCCGCCCGCCACTCCTTACGCGAGGCGCCCCTGGCCAGGCACCTCTCGTGCCATGCCCGCCCGAAGCGCCACCCACAGCGAGCGACCCACATTCACGTGGGAAACACGGGGTCGCTCTCCGTTTCCTCGTCCTGGCCCTTACGCTCCACCCTCGGCTCTCCTCCGCCGCCTCCTCCCGCCCTCCTCCGCCGTCTGGCGGCAGAGGGGGCCTGCGGCCGCTCCCTCGCCGCGGCGAGGTAGGCCAGGAAGGCCTTGGCACCGCGGCCCACGTCGCATTTCTCGCAGGCCTCGAGGGCGACCCCCTCCTCCTCCTCCTCCTCCTCCCCCACCCCCTCCCCCTCCTCCTCCTCCTCCTCCTCCTCCTCCTCCTCCTCCTCCTCCTCCACATTCTCACCGTCACCGCATCGTCCTCGTGATGCAACCGACCCTCGCCACCCCGCCACACGCGTCGGAAGGGCGGGCCATGCGTTCAGTGCGAGTCTTCCTCGCAGGGTTTGGACACGGGGCTTGGAATTCCCAGCGGTTACGCGGGTGGAGGTCGCGTCATTATAATAACCTGGCCCTTGCTGGCGCCCCTCGAGCTCGATGACCATAAGGCTGGACGTGCCCAGCATGGCTGGTCCCAGGAACCCTGGACCAACACATTTGTAACATCTCTTGGGAGGCCGACTGTTGTTGCGGCCAGCCTTCCGCCAGCTTCGGCCTGCGGAGGCGGCCTCAGCTTACTTGCGCGGGTGTCCGTCGCCCGTTCGCCGCCTTCCGCCGAGGAAGAGATGCCCACTCCTTCGATCCTCAAAGGCGAGGCCATGTCTGGAACGCTCCACATGAAGGGGGGGAATCCTGTCAGCATCGGGCTCGTGTCTCCCACGTCCTCCATGTATAGCCCCGAAGCTTGCAACATCCAGCAACTGCGTGAATGGAGGGCGGCTGTTCTTTTCAACACCACGATGCATCCTGGGACTTCCCCGCGAGTCATGTCACGCAAGACGAAGCCAGGACGAAAGCAACATCGGGTGAGGACAAACCGAGAATCTCTGAGATCCCGTTGCTTTGGAGGATGCCTCGGACGGCGCGGCCTTCCCAGAGCGTTCTGGAACGCGCTGGCCCTGGAGCGGATGTATCCTCGTCCTAGCCCCGCCTGGTTATGGCCACTATCTGCAAGGAGGCCCCCAAGAGATCCCAAAATGCCCCAATTGGCTCCCGAGAAGTCTCCTCCGCCCTATTCCTCCCTCTCACATTCTTTCTGTATTTCTCTTATCATTTTTCGTATTATTCGACTTTTCTTTTTCGCAAGATTATTCTTCACTGCTCGCCCCCACGTGTTCCGCGAAAGGCTTCCACACCCGTTGGGGGAACAGATAGTCCGACAGCTCTCTGAGCCATGGCCACAACGTTCGGCAACACAGGCGGTTCCAAACAGGAAGGGGGCGGCGGCGATTCGCAGATAAAGTCTTCGACCGGCCGCCCGCTGATGCTTATCACACGGGTGCGAGCCGTGCTGATTTTCCTTTTTCACCGAAACGTTCGCACGCATGACAAGCGAGGCGACGGACTCTGCTTGTCCAAAATGGCGTTCTCTGCCTTGGCCTGAGCGGAGCCCTGGCCACCTGCCTTGAGCGAGGTCGTCCAAGTTAGACGCCCCCGCCTTCCGCGGGACGCCGCTGTAGAGGGGCCGAGCGGAGCAAGGCGACAGGAGGGAGGAACTCCCTGGGGTGGGCGGGCCGCCGTGGACTCAGCGAGCTGGGGCCCAGCGGAGTCAACGATTTACTCGCCGCAGGTGAAACACTCCGGCAAGACGATCGTTTTGAGCGGGCTGGCACTCAACATCGCAACGGCGCGTTCCCCGTGGCCCCCGCCGCCAGAATATGCCAAACTTCTAGCAGGTAAATCTTGGGTTGCCAGGGCGCGCCGGCCCCGCTGCCGCTGAGCAGCCTGATCCAAAACTCGTCGCCGTAGCCTTCCTCCTCGCCCTCGCCCTTGGCGGCCCCGACGCCGACCTCCACGTAGTCTTTCTCCAGCGCGGTCAGATCATCGCGGGCATTTGAGAACTCGCCCTCCGAGCCCTCGCCGACGTACCAGCGCGCGAACGCGCTCTTGGAATGTGCGAGGTCGAATTTGTGGTCGACGAGGGAGAACGCCCCCGCGATGCCCGTGGAGTTGCTGATCATGCAGCACGCGCGCTTCGCCTTCGCCAAGTCGCCGCCTGGGCACCACGGCAGGAGGCTGGCAGTTGATACCGGCAGGGCACCAATCGCTTGGTTATTTTTTTCCCCTCCCCCCCCCCGGGTTGTTTGGGTTATTTCTTTTTGTCTTTTTTTTGGCTTTGTTAATTTTTATTTGTTTTTTCGTATTTCCTCATTTTTAAATCTTTTTTATTTCTTTTTTTCTTGGTATACATTTTCTTCTTTTATGTTTAGCTTTATTTTTTACTTTTGTTTTGTATTCTATTGGAGTCTTTATCTCTTCTTTCGTTTACTTTTTCGTTTTTTCCTACTTGTGTGCATTTTTTTTTTTCCTTTCATTATTTTTCCTTATCTTTCTTTCCTTATCTGAGCGGATATTTCTTAGTATCATAAAGAGCCCCCCCATCCATCGGCAACCCGCGAAGGCGAGCAGACCGCACCCCCCGCGGAGGGAAGGTCCAGACCAGCGCGAAGCAATGGCGCACAACCCGCCCTGCCGAAAAGCCTGCGCATGCATGTCACGCCCTGCACATGGCCGGAGGTACTGTGCAAACCAGAGCGGCCAACCACAGAAGCATGTGACGAAAAGCCCTGTCCTCGCCCTGAATCAAACTAACCACCAGAATGTGAATTCAACTACCAGCCACCCATGCACATGAGTAAACTCCTGACATCGGCAGCGACCTGCACAGGCGCAGGCGTGGCCCCCGGGACACTGCAGATGTGGGAGCCGATGACGCCGGGGCGCCGCGTCGTCAAATGCCACGATCCCGGGCAGCCCTGGCCCTCCTTCGGCGCTGGCTGCGCGACACCTGGGCCTCCGCAGAAGGCATGGCCATCGCGGCCTCGGCAACTGCCTGGCCAAGGGCCTCTGCAGGGGCGAGCCTTGAAAATGCGTAGTCCGCAGCCTCTTGTTGGTCTTCCACTGGTAGTACCAAAAGCCGCTTCTCAGTCCAGGTAGCGCCACCACCAAAGGTGAGAAAGCCGCTGCTGCGAGCCATGTGCTGTCGCAAATTGTCCAGCGACGGCGAGTAACGGATGCCAGCACCACGGGGACACGCAATGACAAATCTAGATGCCTCCTCCAGGCACGCACACACCAAGATACCCCAGTTCAAAACCAACGCCCGCCTGCGGTTAAGAAAACCCCTATAGATATCTATCCACTCGTTGACCCGGTCCGCAGATCCGCATCCGCGCAATAAGATCCGCGCCCTCTGCACTGAGGCCTGGGGCATACTAGCGTCGTGAGTAATGTCGCAGTCCGTCAGCCAATGCCACTCCACGAGTGAGGTCTGTAGATTGTCCCGCTTGAGCAGCACCTCGCCCCCTGTCACTGGCACGCGCACCCCGCAGCGCTGCGACGCCTCCACATAGCTAATGGCTGTGCCGGAGAGGCCATTGAGAGGTGAGCCTGTCGCCGACGTCAAACCAACAATAGCAATCTGCGCCCCCACGGCCAGCAGCGAGTCGTCGTCGGAGGACTCGCCACCAAAAGCAAACACCTCCGGCTGGGCGCCGGAGGACCCGTTCCCGTGAAGGATGTGCATCAGCTAATTCCACCGTCTGGCGAGTTGCCGCAGCCACCTGCGGCTATTCACATGGCCGCTCAGGCCGCTCATGCGCGCCCACTTGGGGCGCTCCATTGCGTCATCAGACCGCTGGGGACATTTATGTCCGGTTAGTTCCGGTCCAACGCCGCCCCCCCCGGCGCTGACCCCCCCCCCCCAGCTGGGGACAGGCACCTTCGCCATGTCGCCGCCAGGCACCACGGTTGGAGGCTGGTAGTTGGCACCGACCCACAAACAGAAACACCCGCGCGCGGGCCGCGCCGCGGCCTCGGGTCGGCCCTCTGGGCGCATCTCGTCGACACTGTAAAGACCCCCTCTGCGTGCTGGATCGATTACGGGGCGCCCATCCCGTGTAGCCCCCATTTGGAATCGCAAGCAGTTCGAAGCAGGCCAGGAGCTGCAACGGCGAACCAGCGCAACGGTCCGCACATGGGCATACTGGTAGGCCGGAATTTTGCAATGCGATCCAACATGTAGGTCGGCTGGCCCACCCGCCTGTCAGGCTGCGACCCGACGAGTTCCCCGCGCGTCCTGGAACGAAGGTACACGACCCCCCCGCCCCGAGGATCCCGGAGGTGGGAGAACGCTGGGCACCTCGTCAGCAGCGGACCTAAGCAAGAGATAACCCCCCTTCGAAGCGGCCCCCCAGACCCGGACCACCGAAGCCCTCGCGACAATCCCCCGTGCCAGGAACATCTACCAGCAGCCGTAGGGGAGGCCTACAAAAGGAGCCCAATCCACAAACTGAATTGTGCGCTTCGTCTTGACCGTGTCAACCGCTGCTTTCACGCCCGTGGGCACCACGCCGCCACTGCGCATCGCGCAGCGCGCCGTCCATTCGCCGCGGCGGGGATCGCATTCGACAAACATGACAGAGGGCATGGCAGAGGGCTCGAACGCGGACATGATGATTTCGGCCACGCAAGGCTGCTCGTGGCACGCCTTGCTTGCAGAAATCACTGGTCACAGCTCGAGAGCATGAAGTGGATGCGCGGGTGCGGCACCAAATTCGTCTGGAACTCGCTGATGTCCACGTTGAGCGCGCCGTCAAAGCGCAACGTCGCCGATAGAGAGGGCATGAATGATCTAGGCCAGAAGCCTGTTCACATTCGTGTAAGTGGGGCGCGCAATACCAAGATGTCGTTTGCAAGTATTGCGTCGCCTCGCCATTGCACATTATGGCGATGTCCGTGTGCCCCAGCAAAGAACGTACGCACTGAGCCGCGTTATAAGGTTCCACGACCGCCGCTGGCTGCGCGACGCCTGGGCCTCCGCAGAAGGCGTGGCCATCGCGGCCTCGGCAACTGCCTGGCCAAGGGCCTCTGCAGGGGCGAGCCTTGAAAATGCGTAGTCCGCAGCCTCTTGTTGGTCTTCCACTGGTAGTACTAAGTACCAAAAGCCGCTTCTCAGTCCAGGTAGCGCCACCACCAAAGGTGAGAAAGCCGCTGCTGCGAGCCATGTGCTGTCGCAAATTGTCCAGCGACGGCGAGTAACGGATGCCAGCACCACGGGGACACGCAATGACAAATCTAGATGCTCTTTCTCCGTGCTTTTATTGTGTTCTCCCCCGTTTCTTCTTCTTTTGTCTCCTTTTTTTCTTTTTTCTTTTTTCCTCCTTATTATTTGTGCCTCAGGCACGCACACACCAAGATACCCAAGTTCAGACCAACGCCGCCGCGGTTTTAAGAAAATCACTATAGATATCAATTCCACTCGTTGACCGGTCCAGATCCGCCATTTTTCGCGCATAAGTCCGTGCCCTTCTGCACCTGAGGCCTGGGGCATACCAGCGTCGTGAGTAATATGTCGCAGTCCGTCAGCCTATGTCAACTCCACGAGTGAGGTCTGTAGATTGTCCCGCTTGAGCAGCACCTCGCCCCCTGTCACTAGGCCGCGCAACCCCGCAGCGCTGGGACCACCAAATGCTCTCTTGCGACGCCTCCACATGAGCTAATGGCGTGCGGCATAGAGGCATTGAGAGGTGAGCCTCATCGCCACGTCCAAACCAACAATAGCAATCTGCGCCCCCACGGCCAGCAGCGAGTCGTCGTCGGAGGACTCGCCACCAATAGCAAACACCTCCGGCTGGGCGCCGGAGGACCCGTTCCCGTGAAGGATGCGCATCAGCTAATTCCACCGTCTGGCGAGTTGCCGCAGCCACCCGCGGCTATTCACATGGCCGCTCAGGCCGCTCACGCGCGCCCACTTGGGGCGCTCCATTACGTCATCAGACCGCTGGGGCATTTATGTCCGGTTAGTTCCGGTCCAACGCCGCCCCCCCCGGCGCTGACCCCCCCCCCAGCTGGGGACAGGCACCTTCGCCATGTCGCCGCCAGGCGCCACGGTTGGAGGCTGGTAGTTGGCACCGACGCACAAACAGAAACACCCGCGCGCGGGCCGCGCCGCGGCCTCGGGTCGGCCCTCTGGGGGCATCTCGTCGACACAGTAAAGACCCCCTCTGCGTGCTGGATCGATTACGGGGCGCCCATCCCGTGTAGCCCCCATTTGGAATCACAAGCAGTTCGAAGCAGGCCAGGAGCTGCAACGGCGAACCAGCGCGACGGTCCGCACATGGGCATCCCTGTAGGGCGGAACTTTATAAGGCGATCCCACATGTAGGTCGGCTGGCCCACCCACCTGTCAGGCCGCGACCCGCGGGCCGAATGAATCCCCTGCATGTCTTGGAACGAAAGGCGCACAGCCCCCTGGCCAGGAGATCCCGGAAGAAGGAGGGCGCCGGACACCTCGTCAGCAGCGGACCCAAGCAGGAGATGGCCCCTCTTCGAAGCGCCCCATCCAGCCCAGAGCCGCGCCCGCCAGAGCCTCGTTTGCCGCGCCAACCACGCGCCGTCGGCGCCCTTCCGCCCCGGAGGGTAGCCCGCGAAACCTCTTGCGAAGCCCGAGAGGCAGAAAACTGCTGCCGCAGCGCCGTGGGATCGTTCCCGCCCCGTCGAGCTTCCGCAGGAGGTGGGGGTTGGTCTCGCAGCTGGAGAGGCCCCCATGGGCCTTCGAAGCCGTCGCGAAGCCCCCCCGCTCGCGTCGCCAGGAACGCTTGCCAGCAGCCGTGGGCGAGGCCTTCGAAGGGGGCACAATCCACGCAGAGAATTGCGCGCTTCGCCTTGATCGCGGCAACCGCTGCGCTCACACCATCGGGCACCACGTCGCCAGGGCGCATCGCGCAGCACGCCGACCAAGTGCCGACAAGGTCAGAACGAACACACTTGACGGTGGGCTATGCCAACCGCCGCAGGGCGACATCGCGCGCGACAGCACTCGGGAGCACAGCCAGGGATGCCAGACACCCTTCTGGGAGAACAAAAAGCCGACACCAGCACCAAGAAAGTATTTGTTTCACGAAATGTCGAATTGCGTTTTGGACTAGCGCGAGCCCGCCCTGGCCCGAGGAATCGCAGAGTGGGCGAGGAGGACGGGGGAAGGGAGACGTCGCGCAGCACGCAGGAGGGAAAGCAGGAAATAACAAGTGCAAGCGAGAAGCGAAACTAGCGGGCGCTCTCGGGAGAAGAGGGAGAGAAGAGGGAAGGCTGCGGCATCCCCCATGGCTGAAGCTTCACTCCCCCCACCACCGCCCTCCACCACGCCAACCCCCGCCCGCCCGCCACCCCCTCATTCCCCCCACCCCTCACCCACCCTATGTCCGCCCGCGTCGCATCCCTGACCCTCGCCTGGCCCGACACCAAGGCCCGGCGAGTTCGAATCCGCCGCTCTCTGCGAAAGGGGGCGGTGGCCGCCCGTCGCGGCCTGGGCATAAGACCGTGGCCCCCTCTTGACCCAAGCCCGCAGCCCGTGGCAACCTTCCGAAATCGTCGAGGGGTTCAGCTCGCACATGGGGCCGCCGTTCCAGTGGGGGTCTTGGTGCTGGTGTCGGCTTTTTGATGTTGCAGGGAACAAAAAGCCGGCAACAGCACCAAGACGCCACTGGAAAAGTTCGGAGCGCTTTCCCTGTGGGGGTCTTTTTTTCTTTTTTTTTTGTTCATTTATATTTCCTTCATTTTTTTTTTTTTTTGGGAACGTGGTTGAGCGTTTTGTTTGAGTTGCGCTGTGTTTTTTATTTTTTTTTTGAGTGCTGTGTTTTTTGTTGTGTTACCTTTTTCTTCTGTCCTTGATTTCTTTTGTTTTTTTGTAGTTTTTTGAGTTATTGTTTTTGTTTATCGTTTTTGTTTTTTATTTTTTTTTTTTTTTTTTGCTATTCCTTTTTTTTTCTTTTTTTGAGTTGCTGCTTTTGTTGTTTGTTTCGTTGTTTTTCTTCTATTTATTGAGCGACCCACGAAGCAAGAAAGATCTATAAATGTGACGCGTGGGAACCTTCTCAAGACTCCAGACATAGGCGTTTGGGGAAACGCCCCATGCAGCTCATGGCGCCCCTGAGGCCCACGGGGCTCCCATGGCCCGCGGGGTTTCCAAGGCTCAAAAACCAGATGTGGCCCTGACGAGTCAGGGAGCCAATGGTGCCCGCGCGGCATGCTGGGCCAGCGCGGCGCGTTGGGCTTATGCGCGCTGCGGCGCACGTTCGGCCCATGAAGCCCTTTGTGGAACTTGCGGGGTTCATGGGGCTGGCTGGGTTCGCACGGCCCGCGGGACTCGCGCGGCCCATGGAAATCCTAACGCTCACTTGGGGAACTGGAGACGGCCCGTTATGTTCCCACGCGCTCAGAGCTGGCATTCATCAACTCTAGACACGCGAACCCGAAGACACGGGCGACGGCATTCAACAGAGGCTGCAATGTTTTCTTTTCTAGTGGCTTCTTGGTGTTGGTGTCGGGTTCCTGTGCGCCGACCTTCACAAGCCGCCCCCTGCTCGCGGAGCTCATGTCCACGAGGTGCGCCGATCAAGATGCACCCAATGACAGCCTTCCAAGCGGGGGCCGCGACCGCGCCCCCGATGCGGCGCGGACTGGGAAGTCAAAGCGCTAGGCCGGCGCCCCCTGGGGCGGCTGCAGCGGACTGCCGTCGGGGCGCGCGCGTGTCTACCGGAGGCCCCTCTACCCGCTCGGCCTCGATGCCCTCCGCCGCTCATCGAATTGCCCCTGGCCACCACGAGGAGGTTTGCTGCGCGCGCCTTGGCCAGGACCACGCAGCGCGCCATGCGCATGCCGTGGCGGGGGTCGCACTTGACAAACTTGGCAGAGGACTCGAACGCGGGCGCGGCAATTTCCGCCACAGAGAGCTGCTCGTGGCACGCATTCTCGGCTGAAATCACTGACGCGCAGCACGAGACCATGAAGTGGGCGTGCGGGCACGGCGCCACATCCGCCTGGAACTCAGCGATGCCCACGGCGAGCGCGCCGTCAAAGCGCATCGACGCCGTCGAAGAGGATGCGACCTGGGCCAAAATCCTGCTCAAAAAGTGCACGTGGGGCGCTCAATATCAAGATTCCGCCCGCAAATGTCGCGCAGCGCCTCTCATCGCACGCGACGACGACGCCAGTGTGCCCCAGCGAAGAACGCGCGCACAGAGCCGCGCTGCAAGGAAGCCTACACGACCGCCGCGGCGATTTGCGGGCACGCCGACACAGCGAACGAGACCGTGGTCTTCCTGCCACAGCAC